GCAGCGTCTGCGTGTGCGATTGCTTTTCGTGCAGAGTCTGTATACTGTGATGCGGCGGGTGGGCCAGATGCACGCATTGAGTGGGTAGGGCGGTGGCGCGAAGGTGCGTTTCATGATGTTGCAGTCAGTTTTTGCAGAGAGATGTCGGGAAGGAAGGGCAGAGCTACGCGGCGTGCTGGGCGTGGAGCGACGAAACGCAGTGAGGCGGTGCTGCCGGGCGGGGCGGCAGGTGGCCAGAGCAGGTTGACCGCGTACTTCTCCACCGCGCCTCACCGCGATACATCCAGGAGCAGGATAAAACGTCTCGGAGAAGTGACAAGCGGTGACGATGCTGCGCTTCGCAAACAGACGACGGTTCTGGTTTTATTTGTCACTTTCACCGTTCATTTTAAGCTTTTCGCGGCTCGCTAGTAGTCGGCGAGAAGGCTGCGCATCTGTTCCGTTTGTTTCAAGAATTCCTGGGGAAGCAGTGCCACTTAATGTGGTCATTGTCAGCTCAGGGAATTTTAGGCCAACGTCCGCTCCTTCGAGCTAGTTTGCACTAGAATTTGGGATAATATGCATAACGCAGGAAGTCGGTCATAACAGAAATCGGTGGTTCGGGCTATCTCCGATGAGGTGGCACGTGAGCGTTGCAGAAATTCCGTAATAACTGGAGTTTGTTTGCCGGAGGTTTACAGTGATGGTCTGAGTCGGGGGAATTCGTTATTCAGCAGGCCTTGTTGTTTCTACTCGCCACTATTTTTGTTCTGTTTTGTTCGATTCAGTTTCCGCATTGTTCTAGGCGAAGGGGGATACTCCTGCTCCATCACAATCGCCCACCAAAATGGCTCGTTTAAAATCGCCTCGAACGTCATCAGCGTCTGCGAAGGCGGAAGCGAGCATTGCGGAATGGGTTTTACCGCCACTGACGACGCGACCATCCAAGAGTGAAGCCGATGCTGCAGTGGTGAAAGACGGAAAACACAGGGGTTTTGCTACTGCTGGTGAGGCCGAAACTTTCGGTTTGGAGGAATCGGATTCAGGCTGTACAAAGGAAGAAAAAAGAAGCCTCAACAGGATGGAGAAATCAGTCGCTCAAGCGGAAGCGGTGCCGGTTCCTGGCCCTAGCAAGTCACCAGCTGATGATTTGAGGTACGTTCGGAAATGTTTTAGGGGGAACAAAATTACAGGATAAACAAGACTGATGGTCCTGGGCAAGTGACATAACTGTCGGCAATTCGACTTGCTTGGTTGAGTCGTTAGAGGTTTTTATGCGTTTTTTGCAGCAATGCAATGCGAAAAACGCATATTGACGAGAGGTTGTCTGTGTTTCGATTTTTTGTTGTTATATATTTCCTCCGTTTTTATGCGTTTTTTGCAGCAGTGCAATGCGAAAAACGCATATTGACGAGAGGTTGTCTGTGTGATTTTTATGCGTTTTTTGCAGCAATGCAATGCGAAAAACGCATATTGACGAGAGGTTGTCTGTGTGTCCGTGCTTGTGTGTCTGTGTGTGCGTCTGTCACGCACTTTCATCTCAGGACCTATAAAAGCTGCGGG